GATCCCACAGGCGATACCTATTCACACCATCAGTATACCTAAAAAATAAACATTTCCTAGTTTTGGATCAAGCTGATTCTTGGGCATTGTACATCATGTACACCGAACTTCCAAATGTATAGAGGTTTGAATAATCAGCTGACATGCCCGTCCACATCTGATCAGTGTCTTCAACTCAATTGCAGTTGATGGAGCACGATTCACTACACAATAGGCATTATTCACTGCTTCTGCTCATAAAGTTTTATCTAAGCCTACAGCTACTAACATTGTTCTTGTTCTCTCCAACAAGGTTCTATTCATCCATTCTACCACTCAATTTTGTTGAGGAGTGTAAGCCACAGTGAACTGCCTCTTCATGCCTTCCTGAATGTAAAATTCTGCAAACTCATGGCTTGTATGTTCCCCTCCATTATCTGCCTGCAAACACTCATGCGTTTTGAATATTTTGAAGACCAAACACGCATCTGTCTTCCTCTTGATAGGATACACCGACATCTTCTATAGTAGTCATCTATAAAGGACACAAAGTACCCTGCTCCTTCTAGAGATGTAATCAGTACTTGCCATACATTAGAGTGAACCAATTTTAGAATCTATTTACTTCTAGAATTTGATGTGGTGAACTTTGATATGTGTTGCTTACTTGCAACACAGTGTTCACAAGAGGGTAAAGATACCTTAGTGAGTTTTTAGAGTAGATTCTGTTATGCAAGAACCTTCATTCCTTGTTCGGACATGTGTCCACAGTTTCTGATGTCAGGTTATCGAGAGCTTTTCACTTGGACTTCTTGAGGCAATTGATTTTTCTCCTTCTTGCAAAGTCTCTCCCTCCAACATGTACAAGTTTGTAGCCACATTTTCTCCCTTCATAAGTGTAAGTGCACCTTAAATCACCTTCATAATTCCTTTCTCAATGATAACCTTGCAATCGAGGTCATCGAGTTGACCTACTGAGAGCAAGTTCTTTGTTAGGCCTTCTACATGTAGCACTTGTTAAATTGTGCGAACTGTATTATCAGGGAACTTCAACTTGATAGTTCCAATACTGACAATATTCAAGGCATGATCATTACAGCTGAATACAGATCCTCCAAAGACAAGTTCATAATGATGGAACCATTCTCGTCGAGAGGTCATGTGAGAAGTGGCTCTTGAGTCGATAAACCACACATCAGCTAAACTCTTCCTACTTTCAAGAGTTGTCGCTACTTCACAAGACAAAACATCATTTTCTTTTAAGGCTCTCTACATTTATCTGAGAATTGGAATCTTTATTATTTAGATTCCAACAATCCTTCTTCATATGACCCTTTTTCCCACAATGTAACACCTTATGTTCTTCTTACTTCTTGATTTAGCCCTTGATTTTGGCTCCCACTTGAGTCATGTTTTGCTGACCTGCCTCTTGTCATAGCCAGAGTCTCTCCTTATTGTGAACTCGCCAACTTATCTTCTTTGTTCTTGCGTCGATTTTCCTCTTCCAGGACAGCAACTCCAATATCCTCAAAGTTTCGATGGTCGGTGAGAAAATTATTTGTCAAGTTGGTGACAAGTTGATAGTATGAATCAAGAAGACTTTGAAGTAGAAGTTCAGCGCGTTCATTTGGCTCTATTTTACAACCTAATGATGTGAGTTGAGAAAATAGAGTATTCAACGTGTTGATGTGCTATATCATTGGAGTAGATTATGACATTCAAAGAGTATACAATCTTCTCTTAAGGAAAATTTTGTTGTGAAGTGACTTGGCCTCCTACAACTTTATGAGATGATCCCAAATCTCCTTCGCAGTTTTCTTCTCCTCTGTGTTTGACAATACTTTATCTGCTAGTGCCAGATAAAGATTTTCAATAACATTATGATAAGATGAAAAAGATACCCATATTCTATATATTTATTTTACATTTTATTAATTATTATGTTTAAATATTTGAATTTAATTATAAATTATCATTTTGTAGCAGATTGAAGATATTCAAGAATAATAATTTAAAAACGTAATTTTAGAGGATAATGCAGACTTCACCAAATTGGGGAGAGCTCAACGGATAAATACAAACACAATTATTATGGCATGACACTTCAATTTGAGAATTATGAATTTTTAGGATATTTTGTAAATAAAGAGATATAATCAAAGTAGGAAATATAATCCTAAATTGATTAGGAACTCTTTTATTAATTTGTTTTGTTTTAAAAATGATCTTCCCAATTAGTTAGGAATTCCTTATTAGAGATAATTCATCCTTAAAATAGGATAAAGTTAATCTCTATAAATAGAGAAGCCTTATTGGGAGATCCATGATCCAAGTTTCAACGAAAAGGTCTCTTCTCCAAAATTCAAGTTCTCTCCCTCTACCATGATGGCTATACTTTAATTCTTCCAACTCAAGTGTGATTCAAGTCCGATTGTAAGCTTGGGAGACTCAAGTTAAGATAGAGATTTCTTCTTTTTTAAGTACTCTTTGTTTCTTGTTTTTATTATTTATGAACAGTTTATATTAATTAAAGTGACGCATTAATTCATATTAATTGTTTTACTGCTATCCATGAGTTTGTGATCCGTAATTGTCATGAATGATTGAAATAAGTAGTAAGAGATTGACTTATGTGTGTGTATTTATGGCATTTCCATGTTTACATAGCTGGCATAATAGACTCTAGGGAAACAAATAGACAAAGTTAATTAACTTGCAACTATCTCAAATTAATCAATTTTAGTTTAGTCATTCTCGTTATCCTTAATGCTATTCTTTGATTAATATGGAACGCTATCGTGCCCAGTTGATTAATTAATAAGATTTAATTTGATGCTTGGTCTAAATTAATTAAATTAGAAGAATTAAAACTTACCACGGCTGTTCCGAGTAAGTTGATTAAGTTCTTGAATCAAGAAACCAACTTTGTGTAAAGCCTATGATCAAGATTACAATCACACCTTTGGATTGGAAGTTTGGTAAGATCGACTTCTTTTTTCTTTTAGTTTATCTTTTTAAATTTTCAATTTTCAATTTTAAATACAAAATCCTCCCTTTTTTAACTTTGAGAAATTAATTTCATTGGTTCCCTTGTGATTCAACCTGGTCTCACTACTTTTACAAGTTAGATTTAGTAAAATCAATAATTATTTTGGAGGGTCTCGACAACCCTTACCACATTCTCGTCCATCTCGTTCCACTTGTCATCTGTGACTTCCCCAGCCTCTCACTGATGGCTACAAGACAATTATCTTTTCTCAAGATTGCCTTCATCTTCAACTTCCACAACGAGAAATTAGTCTCATTTAACTTCTCAATCTCGAACATTGTCACTATTACTTATATCACAAATTTTATGCAATCCTTTATGCCTTTCAATAAAGGTGAAAGATATCTAACTTATTTTTTGATGATCAGTGGCAACCACAGAGCATACGATAAGTAGATATTAACACCCAAAACCAAGCTATAATACCACGTGTTGAAAATAAAAGGGTCTGGGATCAGATAGAGTAGGATCACGGCTAAAATAGATTAAGAAGAAGTAATGAAGAAGAAGAAAGGGGAAAATAGGACATAGTGATTTTACGTGGAAAACTCCTAAATAGATTGGGGTAAAAACCACGGGCAAGGATACAAGAATTCCACTCCATAAAATAGGAATTACAAACTTTCTCTCTTATGGATAACAAAATCTCTCATAAGAAGAAACTCTCTCTATCTTTATCTCACCCAACCTCACACTCACATTTTTTAGCTGACTTGGAATTCGGAATTTTGAGATTGGTTGCCAAGCATGGGTGCCCACCTATTCATAGCCCAACCCCATATTTGCTCATCAAGCAAATTTCTATGGCTACAAATATGTCACATCTTGACCTTGGATAAGGTGGTGATCTTTTGGTCACAATTTTGCCACATTTTGCACTTTAGTAGCTTCTGGTAATTTCAACTCTCCAAAGAAAAGCTTTTTGAGCAAGCTTGGAAAACCACTTAACCTAGTAGCTAACAGCACATCAGTTTAGGCTGATAGTTAATTGCTAATGTTTTTAAGGAAGAAAATAATCAAACTAATGGTTTTAAGAAAGAAAATAATTGAAATTGGATTACTAGGACACATGTAAGGCCACAGTCAGCTCTCTTTATTTATTCATATGTAGATACAATCTTTTCTTTTGTAGTTCAACCAATATGGAAGTGAGAGTTAGATCTTCGACCTCAAGGAACATAATAGGTATCTTTTTTACTTGGATATTTAGATTAGCTATATATAAATAGATATTAACTAGTGAACAAGGTTTCTTACACCATTAAACAAGCTCAATTTTGACTTAATGCCCCAAAGTGCAGTCATTGAAACTTCGAATTTCATTGGTATGTTGTTGATCCACACCATCGCTAAGCGTGACCAAAAAAAATTCACAAAACCAAGCAAGCCTAATTTCGATTATCACCAACATACCAAACGRMWAAWWAACTATYGGTTTMAAGAAKTTMCWMAAMTGAATTTTTAAAATACAGATACAAAAGTTTCTGCATTGGTTCTGAAATTACTCCAGCTGACAGAGATGTAAATTTTAGGCTAAATCTATGAACAGTTTGGTTGGGTCAGCAGGTGCATAAACAACTTCAGTTTTATCAATTCAGTGTTAAATTTTTAATAAGAATATATTGAAATAAGATGGGTTAAATCAAGGTCGTCACTTGAGAGAGAGGTAGCTTTTGTCTTAATTGTATTAGGAAGAATAATTGGACATCGATTAGTACAACAAATTAATTAATGGAAACCGAATCTGTAGAAGTTTTCCTTGCTTCATTTCATTTTTGTTGTTCTAGTTTGATTTATCATTACTGTTTCAAGGAACTCTCGAAAAAATGGAAGCTATGGGGCGATAGAATCGTGAATTATATGAATAAATTGTAAGATTTGTGACGATTCTCACCAAACGCAGACCACACGATTAGCTCTACTCGAACTATGCAAGGGCAAGGCTAGGATACAAGACTCGAGTGCTATAGGCTTGGATACAAAAAATGAACCAATTTAGATATGAAAGATAAACACCAAATGGATTAACAGTTCAACTATTAAAATAACTCTCGTTTCCACGCTTACATGCCAAATCAAACAGCCATTCTGGCCAAGATTGGCACGTGATTTGAAACATCCTGCAACTCGGCTACTGGCCTCGGCGAGAGAATCCGAGGTCGATGAATACCTTCATCACAAGCCTGGCCACACTAAAAATAAACATTAACATTCACAAGAGCACATTGAGCTACATGAATGCAACTCAGCCTCGGGTCGTCGTACGAAATCCAGCTAATATTGCTATTCACAAAACTTAATTATATGACACATACAGCAGTTTAGCGATCGGATTTCATAAATAAATTATACAATTTACATGCATGCCTTTAGCTGGAGAAAGGATCCAACAACTGAAAGAATCTTTGTAGACAAGTTGTCATTCACAGCATGCCCATGTGGTTTAGGGCCACACTCATCAGTGATTTAGCACTCTGGTGTGGCTATTACTCACTCCCGTATTTGCTCCGATTAGATACCAATCGATCTGAATGCAACCAAAAAATTTACGTTTGGGGAAAAGATTCACCTTCCCTGCAATATTGAAGGTGAGTAAAGTGTCGAGGAAGGCCATAACACATGACAGTAGCGAATGCTGGATAGAAACATACTTTCATGATTCTCAACCTCTTTTAACAAGATTTTCTTTTATCAACCTTTAAATGGATATTGAACCATTTTTTCTTCTTAGGCCTATCCCTTGTAGATTTCCTCTCCCTTATTTGGCTGTCTTCCTTTGCTTCCTTAAACGAACCCCTAATTCGGCTCCTACTCCGTTTCATTGGAGGACCAGTTGTGTACGAGGCATGAATTTCATTTCTCTGTTTGAGAAGATCATCAATCTGGAAAGAAAAGGAGACAGAGCAGTCAGTAGTAAAGAAACAATCATGTTTTACATCAAATTCGCTAGGCAGCTAAAACTTTCGTGTATCTTCAAGAAAGCTTACCACTTGCATTTCTTGAGTGTATCTGCCAGTCATCTCTGTAAATTGTGCTAGTACCTACCGACATTTCTGATAATTATTAGTATGCTTTCATATAGAAAGAGAATACAGAGCTCATGTCAAAATATTAGACCTCACGATATTCTGTTTCAAATTTGGATATTTCCACCCTTTTTGTCAAAATTAGAGCTTCCACGGCTCTAAGATTTTCCTTCTCTTCAGCAAAAGATGCGGCAGAGAAGGCTTCGATTGTGTAGCTCACGCTTTTAAAAAAGTTGTCACCTAGAGAACGTGCAACAGTCATCAGGTTCACAAAACAACATTTTCAAACAAGAAACATTGTATTCCAAATTCAATATCTGAACATCAAAAGCTATTCAAACTGACCATAGACCGCAAAGACATGAGTCCCAGCCTTCAACTCAGTTATTTCACATGGCTGGAACCCATCTAGTTTTTTAAAAAAGGCAGCATCCGGATCCTTAGCGGCGGCCATCTGTAAAGATCATTAAAATTCAAATGAGCACAACATTATGTTGTTGAGCAGTTAGGTGTCATTTCAATTTAATCCTTGTCTTCTACTTCTTCCTTTATTTTTTGAAAAACAGGTGTATTTGATACGTGATAACAGTCCTTATTCCTCCTCTTTGTCCTGGAAAGGCTCTTATATGTGTTTGGAGAGAGGGGAAACAGATTACTGTTATTGTTTCCAATTAACAAAAGGTTATTGAAAATATTATTCGTATTCCTTAATCACTTAAAAGTTAATATCAATAGAATTAACCATCATGAAATAGTTGAAAATATTTTATTCTCATAAAACAGTATTTTCAACTAAAACTTCCCTCCTACACTGATGTGAGAGAGGAAATGCAATAGTTACAGTAGCAGCAGCAGCTGCATGAGGCTGCAGTTCATATGATACAAAACCTAATTCAAATGATTGCTTTATTTTTAAATTTTAAGGTGGTTTTCAGAAATAAATTTCTTTTTTCATTTAATACATTATAAAAAATTAGAGATAAAATGATTATCAAATGCCTTCCCATTTCTTTTATATACGATAGACAATTCTGGAAAATGATTATTAAACAAATTTTATTTTTTCATTTGAAACACAAGTAGAGGACAAAAAATGTTGTCAAATTTGATCTCAGCATTAATTTATGGTTGGCTTACCGAGTTCATTGTTGGGTCCAACCGATAGACAGGGAAACCAAGAAAATACATTCCTGCAGATGTTACTTTTCCTACTTTCGTACTCTCCTCCTACAAGTATAACAAGAATTTGAAACATATCAAGTACTGAGCTCTGAAGGCAAAGATTTAAAAGTTCCATCGATGGTCAAACAACAGAAGATATAAACATAAATAGGATGTTTCAACACGTATTCACAAGAATCACCCATCAAACGAAAGTAAATAAAAATAAAGTCTTCAAATTTATCCATTAGCGGCACACAAAATCAATACTCAAATGTATATTAACTCACCTTTCCAGTCCACAGAAACATTCTATTAATAATAACCAAAAACGTCATCTATAGCACGAAACTAAAAGAGAAAAAAAAGATTATGCATAACTGTTGAACAAATTACAAAAGAATAATATTATCTCATGCATATATTGATACTCCCAACTACAAGATGTTCCCACCAAGACATTATAATGAAAACCTATATTGCATATTCCTAATAATCTGCTGAGCAGATTAGTTTTGTAGTTCAGAGCATACCAAAAGGATGAAAAGGGCTACTAGAACAAAATGAGCAGTACCTGTAAAGCAAGGTTTAGTCCACCAGTTTCTTCCCGATCAAAATACAGTAACTACGTTAACAAATGAATGACAGTGTTAGAAAGTAGTTTATAAAAGATAAAATTTCATTTTAATTTTCAAGTTTTTTATCTATGGTGTATTCTAGCTGAACTAGTGATGAAACCTTATAAGTCTGTAATCATAAAATTGGAAAGGGAGGACATTTGGCGAGAATATGAATGTCAATAGAATCATGGCGGAGGCAATAGATCTCAATCTTTTATTTTTTCAGGAAATACAAATCTTTAGAGAGAAACGTCATCAGGCAAACACCAATGACATCCCAGAAAGCTATGGTTGGACCTTAAATTTGCTTTTATCAGGTGATTGAACTCTGCAAACAAGTCCGCCCTGTGTTTCCTCTTCAGTTATCATAACAGAGTAAAAGTGAGCACATTGTTTCTCAACCTGTAAAATTTATAGAATCCTATATTAGCATACTAATAAACTAAACAACTGTCGAACATTTGGCACATCAATGCACCTTCTTAGAAATAGGCGTGCCCAATGAAAGTGGATGAACAGTCACAACCCCATTAAGCGCCTCTTCCAAAACTGTTGCTGATACAGTAGTTTTAATTGGCACACCAAGCTTGCTGCAACCAAAAGATGGATTAAAATATATAGCATGTAAAACTCATCACATCTGGAGTTCTTAAACAATTTATCAGCTGAGATAACAAAAGTGAGAAGAATTAGTAGAAAAAGGGAAAAACATACCTAAAAAGGGCAGCAAACATGGTGTTCACCGCCCCCAAACTTGAAAGATCTAGCTCCAATTCTTGGCTTTCTGTTTCAACAGCCTAGGCAAAGGACAGCAACTTCACAACTTTCTTCATTTTGAAGTTTAATGAAAATTCATATCAAATAAACTGTAATATCCCAAATCTTCAGACAATGGTAGTTTCGTAATTTTCCTAATTTTAATTTAATTTAAACTTGTCCATCTATGATAAATTAGAGAATGATTTTATTCTCTTGTCCCTTTTCTAAATGTTATTTCTTATTGTAACTAAGTAATAAATATATTAATCAATTTAATAAATTCTTTAATCGTTTTCTTCAAATTACGTATTTTAAATTTAGTTAATTTAGTTCATTCATTTATTTTTTGATAAATACAAACAAATTTAATATTTCAGTTTCAAGATTTAAAACCTAGTAAACTGAAAAGGTAATAACTAATTTTAGTTAAAATATATTTTTCTATCTTTAAAAAATAAATAAATAAACAAACCTAACATATTTAGTTTTATAAATGTAACATATTAGTAACTAGAGCATTTAGGTATTGCATTCTACTTGCAATTTGCACCTAATTGTTGTTCCCCATGTGAAGTAATAATGATTGAATATTTTCTAATACTATCCCCCAGGATTTTGCAGGTGGTGCAGAAGATGCTAGTGAAGAGTCAGGACAAATGGATGTGCTGGGATGACCAGGACACCTTCCAGATATTATTCTACATTGTTTAATCTTGCTAAAGAATATTACAAATGGACTTCATCTTTTTCTGTTTTATTTATCTATTTATTTTTGGATTTATGTCATTGCTTTATGAGATTTAACTAATTTCATAATTATACTTATTATTTTACTATTTAGTATTTTCCCTAAACTACTTTAATTATTTAATTCATTTTTAAATCAGGAATTATTATTTAATTATTAATAAAATAAACTTTAATTTGGTTTAGCTATGTAAACATGGTAACTTTCCTAAAATGTGCAAGTCCACGTGCGAGATATCTCACCTCAAATCCAGCAGCATCATATTGTCGTCGTTTATCTGGATCTGACAAGATGGTGTAAGAAAAAGTGACCTCCTTAAACATATCTGCAGCCTTGGGATCATTTGAATTCTTATCCGGATGATACCTGGTTTTAAAATTTGAATTTCATGACCTTGTACTATCATATCAACATATTTAGTAAAAGAGGATTAAAAATCAAAAAGGAAAAATGGATTAGGAGATGAAATATGTGGCATGGAGTATTACCTCAAAGAGGCACTATTACCATTATAGGGCGACACTATAAGATGTATCAAACACATGCGTAGGAAAAATATGACATGGATACAGCAAAACAAGGGAAAGATGAGCTCTGAATGAAGTGGGAAATAATAGAGTTCACAGGAAATTGTGATCTAGTAGCTACTAAGAAGTAATCTAAACAATGCTTCACATCATAAACAATATTCATTGCAAGTATTATTATTAGCATCAAAAACATTAGGCTAAGGTGACTTTTGATTAAAATGGTGATTAAATCATCATTATTATTAGCACAGGAAATTGTGATCTAGTAGCTACTAAGAAGTTATCAATATAATGCTTCACATCACAATCAATATTCATTGCAAGCATTATTATTAGCATAGAAAACTTTTGGCTCAGGTGACTTTTGATTAAAAGGGGTGATTAAATCATCATAAAAGTTGCTTGAATGTACAACAAATGAAATGCACTACATTCCAGAAATTCTAAATGCTTCCTTGGCATGCTATCAAGTCAAAGTAAGATTATATTAGTGTTCTGATCAATTCAGAGATGTTTGGATTATAATATAAATCCACTCTACTAAGAGATGCTAATTGTATACACACCATCATCTTGGAGATGGTAATTGTATAATGTCCTTAACAACAAAAACATTACATGCTACTCAGTAAACGAACTGAAATAGTTAAAGTTTCATTTTATATTTCTAATATGAAGGTTTCAAATTGACTACAGGCCTTCAATTAAGTTTGTTTGATAATACCATAACCACAGAAGCACCCAAGATTGAAAAAACTATTTCCAATTTCTAACCCAAACCATTCATGTCAGAGTACAAATTAGACATGCAAACCAAAAAATCCTTATCATTGAAATTCTATATATACTATAGTTTTAGACACTGTATGTAGTGTTTTTGTCTCACGTTTAAATAAACTGAGTCATGTAAAACACTGAACTACTCGTTCACTTCAGGAATAATTCTTATAAAAAGTGTGGCATGGACTGGACCATGAATAGTATAACAAATATAAATTGTCCATATGAACATTTGTGTCAAGAAAAACATTGACCTCAAATAAAAAATTAAGTAAAGAAACTATTGAAAATTGAGATGGTTGAAGTACAAATATGAGAATTGAACGACAATTGTAAAATCAAATAATTAAAATAGATAGATTGACTTTCAGATAGATTGACAACCTCGGGCTTAAAGTGTAACCAAGGATTAACGAGGGAACAAAAAGGAACAAGAAAAGTTAAATAACCTCCATACTTAAGATTGTTAAACTCATTGCCACTGGTAGGCAGCGGCAGAATAAGCAAATTTCACAGTGCTACAGTTGGGTGTCGGTGAGTCATAACCCCGAATCTTGGAAGTGTTCCAAAGCTATCGCCGCACTCCTCTGTCCCTTTTGATCGAGGGACAGTCTAAATATGACTTTACGTGATATCTTATCCAACCCAAAAAAGAAAAAAGAATACCCCTCCATATCTCCTGAGAATAAGGCTCAGGAATATGGTCTTGTATGAATTTGAAGTTTCAAGATGACACTGCTGTTTACAGCTGAAATAACTACAACCAGTATCCATAAAAAAGGCCGAAGTTCCACAAATGTAACCGAAGAAATAAGGAAAGCGAGGTAAGAAAAAGATATTCGTAATGTGAACCTACTTGAGAGCCATTTTTCTGTAAGCGCTTTTGATTTCCTGATCGGTGGAGTTCCTGGAGACACCGAGTACCTCATACGGATCTCGACGGTGCAACACCGCAGCATCTTGCTTCTCGGATTTGGATCCGTGCGCCGGCATTCTTCGAAACGAAAAAGAAAACCCTAAAACCCCCTGTGTGAAGTTGGGATTTCAGGCTGAAACTGGAGCTTGCAACTGCAATTTGCCCATGGAATTTGCCCTCAACCAAAGACGGTAATCTTAACAGAGAACAATTCCATGGACATCCAGCCGAAGCTTTTGCCCTTTGGATCGATCACATAGAACGAGAGAAAGCAAGAGAGAGAGAGAGATTAGGTGTAGAGTGTGAGAGTTGTTTGAAATTTGACAAAATTAAATTTCAAGGTTTAAAAACAATTTTCACTTTTTGTGCGTATTACACAACGCAGCCGCAGCACCGCCGGCGCCCGCTACGCTTTTACCCACAATCTTTCAGCGCCCGCCACTAGCACTTAGCAGTCTTCTAAATTTTCATCATCCAATTTCCAAAATTTGTTCATAATTTCAATTTTAATTCAATTGGATCTAACCACCCCAAATCACCGAGAGGAATTTTATGTTAAAATACTATTTTACTCTCTACATTTTTATTTTGATTTATTTTAGTCATTTTACTTCTAACTTTGGTTTATTTTAGTCTATATAGTTTTAAAAATGAACATTTTAGTCATTTCATTTTATTTTTAATCTCATTTTTCTATGTTACATTACACTCAATATATTTATTGGAGTATAACCATGAATTTATATTAAAGGGTTTATGTTCTACATAAAATTTGTATTAAAATTTTAAAAATAAAGATCAAAACGGTCACTTTTTAAAATTTCAGTGACCAAAAGATGTACAATGACTAAAATGAACGAAACCTAAAAGTACATGAATGAAAATGAACACTAAAATGAATCAAAGTTGAAACTATACAAATAATATTTTTTTTAAATTCTAATGAAATTACACATACATATATACTTCTATATTTTTTTTTTAAATCTCTTGCAACCTTTAACAATTTTCTTTTATATTATTAAAACATATGTTTTGATCATATATTGGCATTAGATTGCTAATCTTACAAAGATTAATATTTTTAGTCGATTTGAATGTATTTCAGTGGATAGAACATTTTGTTTTGGTCTGATAATCGAACATCTTGAAAAATGTCCTAGTCCTAAATTTTTTTTGAATGGATTGTACGACCTGCAAAAGAGAAAACTCAAGTTAGTAGTATTCGAAGTGTTCTCTAGATGAACAATCAATCACGCATACTTAGATACAAGCATTATTTTTCTATTTATATTTTCTCGACAAATCAAGTTCACTTCATGACGTTAGTTTAATTGTAGTGGGGCGATGGTTGACAGAAGTTCGACTTTGAGAGACGTCGGGCAGGGTCTTAACCACTATCAAGGTCATGTTGTGGTCGGAGGTATTATTCCTTATCCTCATTCCATTCTCTCCTCTTCTACCATGCAGAAGGGTTGTCTTTCACTACCCAACAATATTTATTACTATCCTTAAAGATCAACGTAGGATTTGTTGAACTAAAATCCTTAAAGATCAAGGTAGGATTTGTTGAACTTAAAGATCAACTATATTAAAAGAATATTAATATTTTCACTTCTTTTATTTTTTGTTTGGTGATTCAAAAAATGCAGAGTGGGACAATAATTGTTTTTTTAAGAAACAAATCGCAATCAGTGTGGTGGCCTGAGTGAGAAATGTGAACCCCTTTCTCCAACCCCCAAAAACATTGATTATTCCTTTATTGTTTTAACATTATTGTATTCGGTAACCCCTTCTTTAATGATTACGATTTCATACTTTCCCAAAAAAACATTTATCATTTTAATTACTCTAAAAATCAAGATGACGTGGCACATTTTTACCTCCTAATTAAAAAAGAAAAAACTCTTGACATGATTTTTGCTAATAAATCAGTTTCAATTAACGAGAAAAAATAAATGTCAATTACTATTGAATTATACTCTTTTAATTAATAATGATATGATTTAAAAGGGGTTAAAAATTTAATTTTTTATTTTTATAAAAGAAAGTAGACTTGTTTGTTATTTATTTCTTCCTTTTGTATTTTTACCTTTAAAATCTTAGCAAATTTTTAAAAAGGCAATTAGCTTAATAGTTAATATAAGTTAGTTTTGTATTCAGAAAAAAAGCATAGAAATTTATAGATAATTACATATAAACTGACAACTCATCGACCCTACATTAGACAACCACTTGCTTCACTGAAAAACAAGAAAGCAAAAATTTTCTTTTTTAATTTAGTTAATTAAAAAAAACAGTTTTTTGACATACTCCAGGGTGGATGAGTTGTGTTACAGTGGGTTCCTTGTTTGTATAAAATTAGGTCATTGAGTTCAATCTTGAAAAACAACATTTTTTTGTATAATTTTTTCCCCTATCTTTGTCCTCTCACCCTTCTTTTTGCAAAGGTAAATAAATTAAACAAAGAAACAGAGGATCTTACAATCCGAGATCAAGACACAATACCCAATAGGCAAAACAAGAAAAGAAGACAGAGGGTGAATCAAGAAAACAAATCCCAAGCCAAGGGAAGTATAAGATCATAACTCAAACAACAACTCCCATATAGTACAACGATAATAAACCTCGGCTTTCAAAGCACGCAAGAGGACAAAAGGCGACCGACCCACCCCACCCGCATGAACTCTAGCATTACGCTCCCTCTAGATAAAAGACACAGTCAAAGTCCACGCCAAACGCCACACACACGACGAGCAGATTTCCCAACATTAGTGTGACAAATCCAAGCAAGCTCCGTAGAACAATATGAAACCCTGTGAGAAGAACCATCCTAAGCAATTATGCCAGACCAAACCTCCCAACTAAAGGGACACTCAAAAAATAGATGATCTTGGGATTCTCAACCAGCACAAAAAAACACAAGAAAGAGGAATGGAAGAGTCCCAAATTCAACCAAGCAGTGAGCCGATCATGCACTGCCAACCAAGCAATGAAAGAGTGCTCCAGAATGCTCCCACCAAACCAAAGTAGAGGATACCAAGGAACAGGGGGTCGGGACGGCCGCAACACACCCTACGCACTCAACACCGAGAAGATACCTGATGGCGATGGAATCCAAATGGGCACATCAACGCCTCCAACTGAAACCGGCATAGAAGAAATCTCAGAGACCAACTGCCAAAGATCAGCCGACCCCCGGGACCAGCGCCATGAACCATCGGGAAATAGAAAATAAGCAACTTTTGCCTCTGTTGGCTTTTTGGCCCTTAATCTCGATTAATTAATTTAATTAATTAATGTTTTGATGATAACAAACACACTTAGTATTAATTGTTTTTGGTGTGTAAGAATTATTGTTATAAAACATAAATTTAATATGAGCTTCAATAATATTATATGATTTACTAATAATACATATTTTATTTATTGATAATTTTAGTGTTTTAAAGTGTCCACAGCGTAGAGCTCGATTCGATGATTCCAACGAATTTTGAATTACCCAAATCGGAGCTCAAACGAAGAAATTATGATCGAAAGAAGTTGGAAGAAAAATTACCCGAGATGGATGACGTGGCAGCTGAATCAACTAAGTGGTCCAATAAAATGTTGACATGTGGCATGGTATTAAAAAAAACAAAGTTACCATTGAGGGTAACTTAAAAGAAAGAAAAAATAATAAAAAGTAGAAATATATATATATATATATATGTCACATCACATTAAATCATATTTGTTTTAAAATATATATATATATATATATATATATATATATATATATATATATATATAGCCGTTTGACACATCCATATATAATATTTTCTTCTTATTATTATTTTATTCAATTAAATCTCAACCTTTGATTTTCAATCTAGTTGTCCAAATTCAATTTCGATTTCAAATTTATTTTCAACTTTTCCTCACCTATTTAAAGC